AAGGAATCATGATATTATTGTGTCCTTGGTGTGCACAGAACCCGTGTTTCAGTTTCATCGCATTCAGGTTTAAACACAGAACACACGTTTCGGTTTTATTTCAGACAGGATTCAATTTGGTGGGATTTTAACAGTATCTGGAATTGCAAATGGGCGAAATAGGATATCCATCCATCCCTTCAATAATAGATAAGGTGGCAGAATGCGAGACGCTACTGCTGACCTGAAGCGGGCCACCTAGCCGGCCACTGTAGAGATCGTCAAAGGCATTGATGGTTTTCAGAAACTGAAACAATGACCAAACATTTCCTTAAAAAATCCGGATAAAATGTCCGGATCTTTTCCAGAATGCTCTGTCCTTCATCTAAATTCAGCTCAGCGCACAGCATTGGCGATACATTCGAATCTCTCTATATTGCAATGAAAATAGGCTTTCATCCTCGACGGCAAGACTCTTATTTTCCTTTGTAAAGGAGATAATATGACATATTCATCGTATTCGAATTCAAGTACATTTGAATGGGAAATGTCACTTTCTTATTGTTGACCTTCAGTAACACTGAAAAACAATTACACGGAGCTATTATCACTGAAAAATTTCCCAGAATAGAGAACGACCGTCCACAGGTCACTGTCACCGATGGATTGATTCATTTTGGACTTTTGCCTCGTCACCGGGTTGATTGAACATTAACACAAGTTAGTCAGCATTATCGGAGCTCGAAAAACATTCCAAATTCTTCCAAATCTAGGACATTTGACCTCCTCTCTCTCTCTTGTTTTCAGCACAGCGCATATGCGTGCGCTTGGAATCTTAAGCCGCGGCCTATTTCCTATAGATTTTGCATGTTCTCCCCATGATTGCTTTGGTTTTCCACTGGGTTTCTCTTACATCGCCAGAGCATGCATGTTAGTTTATTGAAGATTCGGAATTGTCCATTGGTGTAAATAGCTCTTTGTCTAAAGCAGTGGTTCTTAACCTGGGTTCGATCGGAACCCTAGGGGTTCTGTGAATCGGTCTCAGGGGTTCGACCGAGCCTCTGCCATGGAGGTTAAGACACACCGGACTCAATATGTCAATTAGTTATGGCACGCCTGTTTGGCCATCACTGGCTGCAGATGATCACATTACATTGCTTGTCCAATCAGTGCTGCGGGAAATCTAGTTCGCTCAGTAGTCACCGTGTGACTGTCGTGATAGGACGTCATACAATTTAAAAAAACTATATTTATGCCATGTAATTTTATTTACTTTTTTCTGTTTTTAATAACTGTGTTGTTTTTAATGTCTTGAATTTGTAAAAAAACATTTTTATTTTTCACTAATGAAGGGTTTGGTGAATGGGCATATGAACTGGTTGGGTTCGGTACCTCTAACAAGGTTAAGAACCACTGGTCTAAAGGTGGCTGGCTAGTCCAGGGTGTTTCCCGCTGCATAGGCTCCACCTCACCTGCCACCCTAACTAGAACAGAAAATGGATGGACAGAGACGGGTGGATGTTACTTTTTGAAGTGTGTTTACGTGGATCAATACAATCATTTTGTAAAATAAGGTGTGCAGTAGACTCTACAGTTGAGAGACAGTTTTTGGTACTGGAACTCCAATTACAAAGCAAAACTAATCTTTCCATTTACTTTTTCAACTGCTTAAAAGAGACTAATTAAAACTTGGTGCATTGATGAAAATACCCAAGGATCGAGAATGATAGATGCAATCACCCTCTCCAAGGAGTCCTGTTCAAAGCAGCCAGCTTTAGGAGCTGCCGTGTTCTGTCCCATGCAGATAAACCATGGCGCACCCCACCCCAACCGACTGTGGGATGTGCCAAGGAGAGTACGGCGTTGCGTTGCCATGACGACTACTGAGAGTGAATCCTGGCAGAAACATGGCAGCCGGAGAAATTGCATTGTACGTTTGAGTCTCGAACAACTTGGAGAATTCCAGATGCAGTAGTCACTGGTACTTTGCCGTTCTCTTCACACCCTGGCATGCAGGTGGAGTTCATGTGGCTTTTTCTGGTGGCTATGCTCATGACTGCGATCGTGTGGCTTCAGTAAGAGCGTGTTTATGTGCCGCTTTGCGGAGCGCTAATAGCACTCTGCATCCAACAAGCTTTTGGTTTTTGACATGATATTGCTTCTGTGTAGCTCGTCCGTCACTTGTGACCCAAAAAAATTCAATATGCCAGATCTTTGCCCGTACCTGCCAAGTCATTAAGGACGAAACTTGGCATGACAATGTTTTTCAAATTAGAGGCAAACACATTTCTTGACATCGGCGGCTCACTAAAAACATTTTTGGTTCTGTAAATTCACACAGACGCATCTCTTTGGAACTGGCCGCACTTGTTGGTGTCTATGACATTTGACCAAGATAAAAACAGTTTGAATAATCAAGAGTAAATGGCTGGATTGATGATCTTACCTTTCTTCTCTGCTGCCGTGGTTTAAATGTGTGACAGGTTAAGATGTTATGTGTGGTAGCGTGCTTGAAGGGGACAGAATGCCAGCCATAACAACAGTACATTTCAACAGGTCCGGTATCGTCAATGGGTTAGACCAGGGGTGTCAAACTCATTTCTGTCCCGTGCCATATTTCTGTTCCCGTGTCCCTTGGAGAGCCATTCTGACTGGAAGCAAAAAAGAATAACAATTTATTCAACGATTGTTTACTGTCATGAGGGGTTTGGTCAGAAAATTCTTACAATACAGTTTCTCCCTTATTTATTACATCTATGAATTTTAAATTTTGGAAGAGATTTTAGCAAGCATCATGAAAGTTGACATTTGCTTTCGCAGGCTACATGAAATGATGTGTTGGGCCAGATCTGGCCTCCGGGCCTTGAGTTTGACCTGTGGGTAAGACCTTGTGGAAATTTAAACAAAGTTAATGCGATCAATGAGAGACCATACTTGTTGATGTTTGACAAACTCTTGACGGAAATCTTTTTTGGCTTGAGATGTGTGAAAATACGCGGAAACTGTGACTGCTACACTGCACAGCCAAATTTCCGTTTTGTCAGCTACAACCTGTTTCTCTGAAATAGTCCGGTTCATAGTCTGAAAAACGCAATGGCAAGATGTGTGGTGCAACTGTGCACTTTCTTACATGTAGTTATGTTCAATTTTTAATCCCGTACCATTCCAGTGGGTCATTCATGTCGTTTTTTTTTTTTTGTTTGTTTTTTTTTTAATTTGGAGTTTACATATCTCTGCCATCTTTTCTGTGCACTCATGTACTCCGTGCATGTCCAAGCACATTACGCTCTGTAGCAGTGTTTGCGGCACTTCGCTGTTGACAAGCATATTTAAAATTCCAACCAATCGGAGCATCCTCGTCCCGAGGCTGCAGGGTCAGCGTGAGCAGCGACACTGTCTGCGAATACTTTGGAGCACAGCACTGACTTAAGATCAGACTGAATAATTTAGCAACCTGCCAGAAATGTTTTATGGCCCATTTTCCTCCCATCAGAAGCTCACTTGTTCAACCAGCGATGTTTCACGTAATCGTCAAAGCCTTAAAGTATTCATTTTACACAACACTGAGTTCATGTCCTGATCTCTTCTCGTGAGTGTTCCCATTGGTGTCTTAATAACTAAGAATTTTGTTTCTGTCTTATGAAACAAAATGATTTTATTTCATGAAGATATGTCCAGCTCTAATAAAACTGTCATTCAAAGAGTATTTTCATTTTGTTTCGGGACTGCCGACGGAATTTTGCAAACTTTTGCAAACTAAAGCCAATTAAAATCACAACGTCTTTGACAGAGTTAATAAACACCTTCTTTGATGAGGAAACTCTCCCACTAAAATTGGACGTTTATGATTGTTTGCACTTTTTGTCAGTGTGTTTTGAGCAGATAAATAAAGCCGAGCATGACGGTCACATCCTGCCAGTAGTGATCTGCACAAACACCCGATACAGCCGCCCACCTTTCCCCTTGTCCGACTACGGTCACACATTGGAGCAACACTTCTGCTTAAAGCAGTGGAAGGAAACCTATGGCCTGTGGGCCATGCATTTTCCAGAGTACCTCCAAGTACAAATGATGACAATATTCTGCGAACACCAACAGCGGACTAATTGCTATACAATGAAACCTACCGTAAAAAAAATATGGCAATTAAATATTTGTATAGTTGTGCCCTTCCTACGCATTTAACTTCCATGAACACATTTATGTAGCATTTTAACGTGTATATTTGCATTAAGCTGGCAGGCTTTTGTTGGATGCAATTTCAGTAGTGGTGCCACAATCGATTGGTCATCGATTTGTAAAAATATGTGGAATTGGAAACATATTGGAAAAGTATGCGACCGACTGATGGTGATCAATGCCTGTCCTTGCCAATCACAAAAACAATACGCAGCATCTCATACTTAGCTGCATGTAGCCAACGAGAGACCAACTGTGTGTGTTCCCCCGCCCACCTGCAAAAAAAGAAACTGAAGCTCGCACACTTGGGTTCTTGTTTGGAGAATTGTGAGTGTGAGCGTGAGAACTAAGGGGATGCTATAAGTTTACATGTAATGTGTGGGAGGGGTAAAACAGTGTGCTCTGTATGTTTTTTTTAAAAAAATATGACTTCTGTATATCACGTATTTTCACGTGTTGCAGGCTAGTCTGGAACATATCCCCCGCGATAAATGGGGGTTCACTGTATAGAAAATTGAGGGAGGGATGTGACAAAAATGACAAAACATTTAACCATAAGTACTCACTTACCCAACTCAATCTTCAGTACGGCCTTCAGAGGACTTCATAAAAACCGAAAAAGCGTCCCCGCCCTTGATTGCAGGGATTTCTTTTTGTGCTCTCAGATTCTTAGAATGTTTCGGGTTGGACTCGTCCTGAATGCTTGTGCACTTCTGATCCGTCTGTTTTTTTTCCCCTCTTCGTCTCCCTTCTGTTGCCTCCCCTCTTCACCCCCTCCCTGGCTCTTCTCTCCCTTCCTCTTTTTTTTTTTTGTGTTTTCCAGGCGAGGTGTGTGTGTGCCGTGTGCGTGTCAGCCACAAGGTTGTGTGTCTTTCTGTGTGTGAATGTGAGGGAGAAAGAGAAAGCGAAAGAGAGAGAGAGAAGTGAGAGAGAGAGAAACATAGTCCAAGTCCTTAACACGGAGCATGCCTCTGCGTCCGGCAGCCGGCAAACATGAGCCACCCAGCCCGTGCCGTGTGCGTGTCAGCCACAAGGTTGTGTGTCTTTCTGTGTGTGAATGTGAGGGAGAAAGAGAAAGCGAAAGAGAGAGAGAGAAGTGAGAGAGAGAGAGAGAAACATAGTCCAAGTCCTTAACACGGAGCATGCCTCTGCGTCCGGCAGCCGGCAAACATGAGCCACCCAGCCCTCCACGGCAGGACCAGCAGCAGCAGCAGCAGCAGCAGTGCGCGCACACACACCCGCTCGCACTCTCCTCTTACGCACACACCGCCAACGGCAGCCAGGGTGCCAGCACCGACAGCGGCAGCAGCTCCCTGGAAGAGGACATCGTCGGCGCCGGTAACGGTGACAGCGGCGTTCCCATCGCAGTCTCGCCGGCGTTCCTACCCGCCGCCACTGCACCCATGGAGGAGCCCACAGGCAACACGGTCGTGATCCGCATCGGAATCCCAGACCTGCAACAGACGGTAAGAGACAGACTGGAGACAAGCCTCTCCCCTCTCTACGATTACTTTTTGCTTCAGTCATCCACCGGTGTTTTCTTACTTTCTCTCTATACCTTCCTTGTTTCATCACTCTGTTCTCCATATGTTTCTTTTTTTTCCCTCACTGGGTTTATCCATGCTGCTGCTTTTCCAAAAGCCCCGCTAATCAATCAAGCTCTTCATTAAATGGGCTGGAGTTGACTTTGACAATTGGCCACTTAACCCTAACGTACTGTTCATTTCCTATGCACACGTAGTATAGTATCTTCCGAGTCAATTTTGGCTAGGACTAAGACTATCCCTCACAATCTTTGTCGAAATCAAATTATAAACGACACAATTGTTCAAATTGTAATAATAGCTTGGGTGACTTTATTAAATGGATGATCAATCCTTAATTAATTTCAGAGAAAACGTTGCAGGTACCTGGTTGTCCAGCAGGCGTACATCTCACGCTTGTGCCAAGGCACCCTTTGACCTCTGTTTGGCTTGTCTTCCTTACGTTTATCATGTATGATCATTCCTGTGCCGCTTAACTCCTCCAGTGTTTCGGGATTTCCCCATGACATTTCAAAGACCAACAGGTGCATGTTTCTGCAGAAGCCTGTGCAATTATAGCGGGAACACTGACAGTTATCAGACTGTTTAAAAGATCCTTTTTGAACACTGTTACCCCTGTCTCATTAAAAAAAAAAAAAAATGTCACGTGCAGCTTTATAGCTTCAATATGCCCACCTTTACTACCATTTTCCTTGTTTTTGGGCACACTGATAAATCCCAAATCCATTTAAGTGAACAAGGTCAAATATGACCCAGAAACACAAACTGTGTAGCACCTGTACAGCGGAATGACATTTTCATTTTTATGTTAGCAGTATAGAAGACGGATTGATATATTTTTGCTCACTTTAGGAAAAGCCATCCAAGTTCACGATAAAAAGAATTACATCTAGGGTACTTTTAACAGCTTCCAAATATGAAAATGTGTGAAATTTGAATAAAAGTTGCATAAAAGGATGGAAGCGAAAGCTGGAAGTGAGGAAGAAGAGGGAAGATGGAGAGACAGCATCATGAGAAGCATTGTAAATCTTCACGGTGGGGGGGCGTATAAGGTAGATGTGTAAAGGTAGTTATGACCCAACTGGCAAACTTTACATTCTTTTTCATAAAATACTTCAATCCATTAATCAGTGCAATTGATTGCTTCCTGAGAATCCAGTAAATGCATACACGGCCTCTTTTTCGCCAGAAAATGCACAGCCAAGCACATCATTTTCTAATGTAAAAGTTGGAGGTCATGCCTATCCTCGCTGTCCATTTCCAGTTTTTAATCAAAACAGCACAAAAGGCACATTTTTTAGATACCTTTAGCGCAGGACATCAATATAATACAATACAATACAAAATCAGTCACAGACATCAGCCGATCGGTCATTCGGATGATTTCTTTACGCTGACCTGATACGAATGCTGTATGAGGGAAGTGAACTCAATTCAACTCACTTCACAATAAGCAGCACTTTAGAAAATAGTGAACAAGTCATCAAAAAGATTGTCCCGTTTTTTTGCCACTCCCACTTGAAGTTTACTCTCAAACGAAAGGTAAAACAAAGAGAATTACACATTTTGTATTTAAAAACAATCAAACCATTTTGTCCTTGGAATGGCCCCACTCACTTAAAGCTACCATATAATTGAAAATCCTTTTGACGAGCTAACGATTAGCATCGATAGTCTGGGTGTTAAAACCAGCAATAGATATTTCAAAACAAATAGTGAAGCAACACATGTTGACAGATATCAGAGTGATTATCAGCATATATTCTTTATCCTCTGTGAAAAAAAATGGTTAACATTATTTCAACTTAGTGAATCACTTAGAATGGAGTAGTGGTGTCAGTTCTTCATTTCTTGTTTATTACGTTCTATTTTCTGTGTTCTAGATGTTATTACTTTTTGTTTTAAAAATGTACATTATTATACAGTGCTATTTTGCTTATTAAAAAACACATAAATGGATGGATGGCTTGATAAAGGAAACTGAAAAAAAAAATCGAGCACCAGTTTCACAGATCAACAAGATATTGGGCGGTTGTGTCTGTCATATTAGGGCGCAGAAAAAAAGTCTCAAAGAGCCATGCCTGAAATTGAACAGAAAGCCATGTTAATTTCATCAAACCATTATTGAATTTCAGGGATCCGACTTCCACAAACTGAGCTCGGAAAGTTGCCCAAATGAGCACCACCGTGACACAAGACGGGTGGGCAACACTATATCATCACATTTTTTGCTTTCTGAACTGTGGTCATCATGGTCAAGGATTCATGATGAAAAACCGGGTGCAAAGGTCCCAGCAATTCCTCCTTGCTGCTTTAATCCAACCAAATCGCCCCTACCAAAAAAAAAAAAAAAAAAAGTTGTTTGGTCGATTATCAAACCTGGAATGAGAATGAGACCTGATTTGACCTGCTTGATAGCCATCTGCTCAAAACGTAATGGCGTATGACATAAAACAGAATCCAAGGTTGTCGGCCACAAAACAGCGGTGACCGGTTCTTGTCCTGACCAGTTCTCTTCAAAAGAAAACAAGTCTGGAATGAGTGCCGTGAAGCTGAACTACCTGTTTTGAAGGACATCACTTGTGGAAATGCTTGCAAAATTTATGCCGTTACAAATCTTTAGTTGTTGGGCTTTACACTGTTGATAGTACAGGCGCTACTCGATTTATTTTTGCATCACATTCTTCACAGGAGTGATGTGACCCGAATTTGTAAGTAAGCCGTTGGCTTCCCGTCATACTTTGAGTAAATACTTCCATGAAAAACAAAGCACCCAACACCCTGCAGCTGGAACGTACACAATGATGTTAAACAGTGATATTCAGTGGATGAATTATCGGTACTCAACACAAACAAACCACCTTCACGCGAGGCTCATCAATAGTCGCTAGTATAGTAGCCTAAATAACACACTGGCCAATAAATACAGTGGACCACTAGATTCTACAAAAAAAACAAAACAAAACATGCTTTTATTTTTCTTCCCAATGCAATTATAACAGGTGTCAATTACCGTATTTTCTGCACTATAAGGCGCTTCGGAGTATAAGGCGCACCTTCACTAAACGGACGATTTTAAAACAGTTTTCCTATTCAGGGCGTACCGCATTATAAGGCGCATGGAATAGAAGCCACAATAGTGGCTGCGGTTGAGTTATGCATCCACTAGATGGAACTATGCTAAAGGGAAGACAATACGGTTTTATTTATATCGAGCTTTCACAACCGTTGCAACTGTAACAAAGCGTTTTACAGAACATTTAAAATACTATGTCCAAGAAATCAGAGTATTGATCCGTATATAAGGCGCATCGGATTATAAGGCGCACTGTCAGCTTTTGAGAAAATTGAAGATTTTTAGGTGTTCCTTATAGTGTGGAAAAAATGGTATTTGTGGATTCTATTACTACTACTATTCATGGGCCACTCTATTCCCCTCGAATAGCGGTGGTCTATTCAGTGTACACTAGCACTTTGTACAAAAGATACAAGTCATTGAACTCATTTTTTGGCATTCACACACAATAACGAGGTGCACTCAATGGCCGACATCTTAAACTCAGACCCCAAAAAAACATGAATGAACTGAAATTACAACATAATTGATTTCACAAGATGCCACCCAAGTTTCATTTTTATTTGGCCAATAACGGAGGAAAAGATTCCGAACAAATTTAACAGATGATGGGAGACTTTACAAATGTCAAGCTGAATATGTGGGGGTACGCTGCAAATATTTGCATAAAGAAAGACTTAATAATCAAGTTAAAAATGGTAAGGACTGCAGTAAAAGAATGTGCCTTCTTGTGCTCGTGCCAGGTAACGTTATTCACTTCACAAACTAGTTCACTGCATGTCATTCTTAATCTGTTAAACCGACATCCCCGTTTTTATATTAACGGAAACCCTTCGTGTTATTGTGCTAAAAAAAATTCAAATTGTCATAAAGTGGACACACTACATACAGTATGTTGTATTCTTTAGACTGCGATACTATTGAGCCTTTTCCTGCTGTTTAGGTCATCAAAGGTTTGTTGATTAAAGTCAAAGTGCACGTAAAAACTTTTTTTACATGACCTAATCAAACAGTCGTTGCTCATAGAATTAAATGGATCCGTTTAGCGAGGAAACATAAACCTCCCTATGTGTACCCTTTATGCCAGTCCTTCAGCTTTAGCTATTACACACAAGAGCAATGCTGGAGAAATATCTGGTGACAGTTCCCTGTGTAACAACACACACACACACACACACACACACACACACACACACACACACACACACACACACACACACACACACACACACACACACACACACACACACAGATACACAGGCTTTTTTATTTTTTTGCTAATTCTAATGGGCCCCTGTCATCTGTCCTCGGCTCACCTTGTCTCACGTTTCCTCAGGAGACCCGTGTCCGCTAATGGTGGCATAAAATGCAGATGGACCTTTTTTACGGGGTGTCACGATGCTGCATGCACTCTTGGCCCTGCTGTCCTTTGCATTTATTTGGTCGTCCCATGCGTTTATTATTGTTGATCATCCATCCGTGGTGGGCAACTTTTGTGAAATTCGTGCTGAGGAAATGAAAGGAGCAGCAGTAGGAGTTGAAAAGAAAGCAGAGAATTCCCCAAAGGTGCTGCGGAATCGCCGTCTGTGAACCAAAAATGATTTTTCTTCTCTTGGTGGCACTTACACACACACACACACACACACACACACACACACACACACACACACACACACACCCACACACACACACACACACACACACACACACACACACACACACACACACACGCACACACATCTACAGGTAGTACTGAGGAGCTTGGCTTCAAGATTTTGATCACTTTTACCCGGCATAATGCAAAGGGATAGCGCTTTATGTCAGTTCAAGGTCTATTAGCTGTGTA